TATGCCCGTCGATAAAAATGTCCTCCACAGATGACACAAACATGGATCTCTGTTCATCATGTGACCGGCTGCAACATGAAAACATTTCTCTGCAACCCTGTTGATTTGCTGCTGGGGTTAGTATGGTCACCCTTTGAAACACACTGCCATCTCTAAGAGTGGTTTTGGTTTATGATGTCGTATAATGAAGACATGCTGGGGAGCCATGGTGGTCTGGAGGGCTTCAGCGTCATGTAATCACAATGTTTGGGTCCAACCAGAGATCACCGTCACATTTCTTGACAGATCTCTGTTTTCAGCTATGTATCTAAATCATTCAGATAAACCCTTGTGGATGTTTTTTGCGCTCAGACAGACGGTCAGAGCACATGATGGGATATTTTAGGTGCTATAAGTAGCTGGCAATCCATTCATGGTGAATTCCCCTCCCCTCAGACTTAAATATGTTCAAGCCTGAAGAGGGACAATTCTTTCATTTTATAAATAAGACAAAAACAAAGGACAAGATAAAGCCAATACAATCTTTGCACAACGTCCTGTAGACAAGCTGGTTTGTTCTTCTCTGTACTAGTTAACCATCTCAACTTCCCTCTAAAGGATCATGTTGCTGTTGGAAGGGATCCTCACATCTGAGATTGAACAGCTGATTTTCCAAATACGAGATTTTGACACAAAATAGTAACCCGTTCAGTCCACAGACATCTTGTGAAGACAGTATAATGAATGATGTCTAGCAAAGACACAGAAAGGGTTAAAATCTGTAAGGCTGAGTTGGAGGTTTTTTTGGGTCATTTTAAAATTATTTTTGGGCTTTTTGTGTCTTTATTGGAGGGATAGAGAGCTGGAAATCAAGGAGAGAGAGTGGATTGACATGCAGGAAAGAAGCCACAGGTTGGATTTGAAACTGGGCTGCCTGTGTTGAGGACTATAGCCTCCATATATGGGACGCGCGCACTAACCACTGCGCCACCAGCGCCCCATTTTGGGGGTCATTTTAAAATTATTTTTAAGCTCCACACAGCTATCAAGCTCATATTGTTTCCATCCTGGATATTAAGTTCATTCTTGGACTTAAATATGTAAAGCAGCAGAGTCAGTGTTTGTGAGTCTGTGCAGTGAAATAACCTTCTTTGACCTAAGCCTCTCTCTGGAGCTCAGCCTGAATGAATGCCTACATCATATTTTGTGTTCGTTTTAGTGTGTGTGTGTGTGTGTGTGTGTGTGTGTGTGAGTGTGTGAGTGTGTGAGTGAGTTCAGGGATGCGAGGCCTTGTCCCTCCATAAACTGCAATGACAGCACCATCATAAAAAGAGGACAGGAGTCAAGTGTGTGTGTTTGTGTGTCTTACTTGAGCGTCTCGGCCAAGTAGAAGCTCTGCTGCACGTCGTCGTGGTTCGGACTCGAGGCGTAGACGTCTCTGATGCCGCTGTAGCCTCCTTCTACTCTACAGTGCTGCTCCAAGGCCTGAGCGATAGAAAGAGACAAGAGAGAGGAGCTGTCAGAGAACGGCAACATTAATCAAGCTCTCGTAATCCTTAAAATATCACCAGACCCCCCCACCCCACGCAGATTATTTTCTAAATATAACCAGGAGTATCTTCCTAAGCTTTCCTTATTAGGAGTTTTCAATGCTCGCTCATTTGAACTGATCAGAAGTGAACCCACCTGAACAGCCTCCCAGCCCCACTCCCTGTACTTGGGGTCGTGGGTGAACCTCCACATGTACATGTACGTCTCGATGACCTCGGGGCGGAGGATGAAGTATTTCTCGTTCTGTCGGGTGGCGATGGCCTCGACCCCGCCGTCGAAGCGGAACGCCTCAGGGCCCAGTTTCAAAGCTAGAGAGGAGAGAGTGAAGATACAACATGATGATACAAAACAGTTTGAGTGTCAGGAAAATAAAAACCTATCATCATCATCATCATCAGCGTGCGCTGAGCGAGAGCCTGAAAGGAGACCAGAACACAGACTGTTCCCTTTTTGGATTCATGTTTGATATATTACTCATCTGGATGTTTGGGTAATGTTATGAAAGTGAGCACATGGCAGGATAATGTCACAACCTTCATGTCAGGAAAAATATGTTATGCAAGAGCTCGTGGTCATGTTTGCAGTGCGGCCTCTAAAACAGGATGACTCACAGGAGGACTTGAGGATGGTTAGGGGAAAGGGAGATAAGTACAAACGATGACGGCGATTTAAGATTTCAACCATACATAACTGGTACAGCTTTGTGATTAAAATAATCCTTTTCTTCTTTCATTTTCTTTCCACAAAAGGATTCTCTTACCTGAATTGGAAGCCCTCTGGACTGAATACGGGCGCTGGACATTCCCATTCAGGCTGAGGCTGGATTTAAATTTAATGGACTCTGGCAGGTTTTTTTTGTCCTACTTGATTTGCCTTTTCTGGTTTTAATTATATTGTCTGTTTTGGTTTGTTTTTTGTGGTGGTTGATTTTAGTCCTTTTGGTTGTGTCTTTGTACATGTCTTTTAACTGTTATATTGTTTGAAAATTTCAATAAAATTGTTCCTGAAATAAAGAAATATACCTTTTCTTTTGCAGGGGAGGAGGGACGGGGTCTCCACTGCAAAAAACAACAACATACCACTTCCCTGAACTCTAACCACCGATCTTCAAGTCTGCTTTTTCCCACCCTCTCTTTTCAATCCTAACCCAAACCACAAGTCTAAACCGTGAATATAACATCCCCCCTAAACCTAAGCGACTTTTTCTGTTGAACAAACAGAAGTAAATTAATCTGTTATGAGCTCCTAATCCACCATGAGATGTTTTCATTTATTTATTTTGTAGGTTTCTATGATCTGCCTTTCTTCCCACCTATTCTACCCCCTCCTCCCAATTACAGAAAATCTGAGCAGTGCCTGTGCCCTCTTTGCACCACCATTAGGGTTAGGTTGAGTGCACAGATGTGACACCTCTGCTTTGGATATCTACCCATTAAAAAATATATCACGATGTGTAAAAGTAACCGTTTGAGTGAAGCCACTATAAGGGCCAGAGAGCTAAGAAACACATTCTCACACCCAGGTCCAAAGTTGCTTTCCAAAACAGGAAACTAAGTGCAACAACCAGCTTTCATTAAACAGAAACAATTACAAATCTTCAGGCTGACTGAGACAACAACAAACTGAAGGAACATGACCAAACATCTGCATTTCATTTACCAAAAGTACTAAACTAAATCTAACTCTGATGTGAAAGTTACCAAACAAACCTTTCTGCTCATGAGAGACTTCTCTGCTGTGCATATTTACCGGTTCTTGCGTAAGACTCGTGGCAGGTCCGGGCGATCTCGGCGGCCTGCTCCATCTGGTGGCCTGTCTTGTCGCTCGGCGCTCCGTCGGCACCCAGAGCGATCATGCCACCTGCGAAACAGGTCAGGTGGCCCATCTTGTGCTCCAGAAGCCCCCCCTTCCACTCGGCGATGTAGGTCAGCCCGCTGCTGGACTTCCTCATCAGGTTGGTTTCTATCGCCTGGAAAAAAAGAAGAATAAAGTGTCAGTGCTGCTCAGTCTGAAACTCTGAAAGGGGTGATGTAAGAGGGAGTAAAACAGCAGCTAGTTTGGATTGGATGATCTGTAATCATCCTCCTCCCTTTATTTTAAAGATGAATGTGTTTTCATGTAAAGGTCTTTCTTCTGTCCAGAAAAGTTTCTGACTTCAGCATCAACACTTCATCTGTCTTCATATTTTAAAACCTTGCTCTTAGGAGAGAAGTCTACAGTATCACTTCATTACTTTCTCTCTGGCTGACGCGTCGTCCAGATACTTAAAGCTTTGTGCTCGTTTATAATGTCCTCTGGAAAACCAAAAGCAGCCAAGAGGCTTCACAATTTACATTTGTTAATTGGTGTTGTGATAAATCCAGATAAATGGGTAGCACCAGAAGTAAAAGAAAAAGTTTTTTCAAGTTTGAATTGACTCTTAAACGATCATGGATAGCATAAGCAGCAGGGGCTGTAGAGTTATTTCATCCTCCTCGAGGGACTTAAATATTAGCTCTGTTGCTTCTCTGTCTTATAAAGCTTTGTCTTAGCAAATAAATCATGAGTGCCTCTAATCCTTCAAGATTTGGAGGGATTAGGGGTGAAGTGTCCCCCGGGTGTTTAAGACTGTATTTAAGTCGTGGTGTTTTAAATTTGCTCCCCAGCGCATTACAGGAAATTTATCTGAGAATAATCTTTCAGCAGCTGAGGCGCCTCACTCGCCGCCCACAACTTCAAGCGACATTTTTTGTCTAAACGGAGAAAAAAAAAAGCTGTCTGCTGAGGATGAGGCTGTTGTTACTGTAGATTCATCCGCTCCCTGTTTCTTATCCTCTGATTCAAAAGTTTGTTTAGTTCCGCCTGTATCCTCATCTCCCCATCTGCTCAAAGTCACTATCTCACTCCAAAGGAATCAAGAGGAATATCTCGACGTTTTGGCACGAGAAGGCATACAGACTTTATCACACATTTGCAATTTTCAGCAGAACAAACTACAGTAACAAGCTCAGCTGTCCGTGGAAATATTGATGTTAACATCCTGCTCTAGTTTAAATATCCTTCTTAGTGTCTCATGAGCAGCACTTGCAGGATTCAAGGTTATTTAGGGAAATTGATTTTTTATAATACCCCCCCACAGTGACTAATAAATACAACAGCAAGAAGACTTTTCCATATCTGACGCTGACCTTGTGTTTGAGGTCCACTATTACCAAACAGCCATTTATTAAGATTCAGAGGGGGCATGAGGGATGCAAAAAAAAAACCCCCGTGGAGAAAATCTATGAAGCTCCTGATCTATAAACAGCCTGAGTTTATCCATTCAAAGAAAGCTTTGTCAGATTAGAGGCAGCACACTATTTAATACAGTCAGTCCAGTTTTTAAAATAAAACCTGCAACATTAGACGTGTGATAATATCAGGTTGTTTCAAAAAGTTGGTGCTCTCATTTTTACCAAGTGCAATTAATATGTTAAACAACAATTAGCCATTTGTGGCTCTTTCTGCACTTGAATTGCAAATTTGCCCACCTCCACTTTGCTCTTTAATAACTTGAATTTCCATTCTGGTATGGGCTCTTGACTGATTTTATTACGTCGTTTTTATTTGTTTTTTTATTTTGCTGTGTTGTCTGATTGTTTTAAAATTTGTTTTGGTTTATGTTCTATGCTGATGTTGTCCTTGTGTTTCTTGTCTTCTGTGTGCTCCTGTTGCAACACATAATTTCCCCTCGTGGGACAATAAAGAATCTGAATCTTATTGGTGTCTTTTTGTTTAAGATTTATTTTTGGGCTTTTTGCTTTTATTTGATAGGACAGTGGATAGAGTAGGAAATCAGGGAATGACATGCAGGAAAGGAGCCACAGGTCCGTGCCCTCAGTGCATAGGGCGTAACCGCACAGTTAGGACATCTGCTCCCCGCCTCTTTGAGTCTTTTAAGTGAAACGCCTTCATGCCTTCAATGCAAGGCCAGTTACAGAAGGAGTACGGACATTTAGAAAAAAAAAAAAAAAAAAGTTGAAAAAACATTCTGAAACCAAATGCAGTTAAACATGCTTCAATGTCGGGGAAGCGTTTCAGAGACAGAGAAGTGATTGCATCAGTGTTTGGTTGCATTTCGAGCTCGCTGTTCCTCTCCTGGGCAGGTGAGCTGCATGACCCGACTCATGTCCAAAGAGTGAAAACTATCTATCACATCTTCCTGAATCCTACAGTGAAGAAATTTGCCCGACCATCAGTTCAAAAACCAACAAGATGTTCAGGTTGTACTTAAAACAGACACACAGATCACCTGTTGAACTCATATCACTGATTATCAAACCAGCTGCTGCTGTTAGAAGTTAAAGACTGAAACTAAGAATACATCTTTCATTTGTTTTATTCTCGAAGTGTGTGTGTGTGTGTGTGTGTGTGTGTGTGTGTATTACCTGCAGAGCATCATAGTACATCTTCTTGCCCTCCTCGTCAGTCTTGTCAGACATCAGCCAGGCTTTGAGCAGGTACTCGTAGAAACTGTCGCCCAAGCCGCCCACAGACACGTGATCTGCAACACACAGATGAACACAACAAATATAACACACAAAAAGACACACACACACACACACACACACACACACACACAGTCCCTGACAGGTTTGCTGCTTCAGATAACGTCTGTTGAACCATCCATATGTCCTCCTCACATGACGCAGGGCTAGATGTGTAGGTTTCATATCAGGTGAACATATCTACAGTGGGGGTTTACTCAAGTATGTCTGTGTGTGTGTGTGTGTGTGTGTGTGTGTGTGTCAGGGGTTTTTATGGGAGGTAAGACTCCAGCCATGCGAGCTGTACTTGTGTATTTGCCCTGCTGATTGTCAGTGAAGGCTCATCCATATGCATGTCATGTCATTAACAGAGTCCAGCCCCTTGTGTGGAGCGCAGAGATTAAATGTCAGCTGTGATCATCATGAAGTGAAGAGAAAGGGAAGCCTGGCAGAGAAAATGGTTTTTGGGTTTGAGCCGATAAGAGGAACCTGGCCCCCTCTTCAGCGAGTAAAATATTAAAACCGGGAACACGAGCAGCACAGAACAGAGAGAGACGAACGCACTTTAAAATAGAGCATCAGTGCTCTTCTCAAGCAAAACATCAACTGTCTGATTAGAGAAGTCATGAAAAGTGATCACTTAATAACGCATAGGGCTACAACGGGTAGAGGTTGAAATCATACCATATATCAAATGGGACACCGGCCGCTCTGTCATATTTTTCAAGCCCGATACAGAATTCCCTTTCATGGAAGTAAAGCCAATATATTCCAGTGTTTTCCATTTTGCATTATTGTTTGCATAGATTCAAATATGTTCCATGTTACACTGCCTCAATGGGGATTGTCTTTACCCAACATTTTTTGCATCTGCATCTTAAAATGCTCAGTGTGGAGGGCTTTGGAGAGCTAGTTGACTAAACCCCCCCCCCCCCCTTACAAAAACAGGGCTGTGCAAAGGGGGTAGGGGCAATATGGATCCCACAGTCCTCCCTCCTTTGGCCTCCCGGTTGGCTCAAAATCTCCAGCCCTGCCCCTCTTATTAGTGTGCTGCAGAGTGAGGCAGCATTTTACATTTGATATTGTAACTAAGAGGGAACGTGCAAAGCCCTGGTGTTGAAACATGAGGCCAGTGGGGAAGTGCAAAGTCTCATATTAAATGTTCATTATAAAAAACAAAAGAAAAAAAAGAAAAAAAAAAGGATTAGGTCTCCTTAGCCCATTTCTATATGTTTGTAATATTCCGCTATGTTATAACTCATCTGCTTTTTAAAGCCCAAAAGTTAATCCTACATGGATGAGATTGTAGCCGTCTACCATCAGGCTTACTCCTAATCACATACTCCGTGCACATCACAGTCCGTCTGTGCTGGGCAATACGCCGCCGTTCGCTGCCACTCTAGTCGATGCTCCTGTTTCCACAGCGAGCGTTGTGGTCAGTCCTTGGAGCGTGCCAGCGGCGCCACCATGCTCTGCTCCGTTTCAAACACGCTCAGAGTCTATTTTTGACAGAGCCCACTGCAAGCATGCGTCAAGTTGGGACAGAACAGAACGACCCGCACAGGAAGTCAGACAAAGAAACGCACAGTGTGTCCGGAAACAGACGGACCCATGATCGTATTTTCCATCACTATCAACACTACGATTCAATGAGTGTGGAAATGAAGAGTTGGAGACCGCATTACCCACATGGTGACTGCCATCCTGCCAGCTTCATAAAGCCTCTTCAGACACTAATGGGTGACATCACTGAGACTACATCTATGTTTTATTCCGCCTATGGTCATTACCCGAGCGCTTTGCAAACTAAGTAGAACCTGGAAGATAAGATAGCTTAGCAGGGACTGAAACCAACATCTTCTTTCCAATCAGTAGAAGTTTGTGTAAAAGAAATGTTCTGTGACAGTATAGTTATTTCTATGTCGTGTGTGTGAAGCTTTAAAATTGTATAGGTATCGGTGTCCCAATTTTCTTGTTGAACCTCCACCCTTGTAGATCTGTTTTAAGGAGCCACTTCCCAATTCAGGGCAACTAGAGGTGCTACCAAGGGGGGATTGGGTGTCAGCTTTTTTTTTTACCCACAAGTAGTGACAGAACAGCTGATTGGATTAAACGTAAACCGACCAGACATTTCTATATCTTCTCTGTATGTCCTGTGTGTGAAACACAGAGTGAGTGTTTCAGTGAGGCGGCGGTGGAGAAATATTTCTCAGACAACATCAGGCTGCAAACATCCCGAGGTCATAATTTATTCAACAAATGCGTTCCCATCACTGTTGCGTAATTTCTTTCTGGATGAAAAAAACCCATCTCTGACTAAGGGCGAGCATGAAAGTGTTTCTGTAGAAAACTTGGTGTTTTTTATTCAGCATTCCTAATTGAATATGTCACCATTTGCATAAAATACTTAGATGAAAACACAGATTCTGGCTCGGGTTAAGAGTGTCAGCTAAATGCCAACAATTATAAGTGCGGATGTGCTTACAGTGCTGTTATTCATCAGATGATTTCAGTAAGTAGAGCAGAGGTGCATGTCCATATTTAACCATCACAGATACTAACAGCCCTCCAAATCGAGGAGTAGAGTGTGAAAAACAAAAACGAGAGAGGACTCTGAAGCGTTTCAATGGATATAAAAAAATGATAGAAGTGGATCAAAGGATTTCTAATTTAATGCAACAACTTTCATGTGGGATTCAAGAGAAGTGTGCCCTGATTCTATGTAGAGCAGTGACTGGCCCGAATAAACATGAAACACTTACAAGTTCAAATGGATACTGAAGGAATTAAGCACGGAAAATAATTAAGTTTCATTAATTTCAAAAGTGATATGCTCACGAGATGAAAGCAAGGCAAAACTATCTCAGCAAATCCTAATCATTTGAGAGACACCACCTCAGGTTTCTCTGTTGAGTTGAATTTTCTCGTTTTACACCTCAGCATGCTCGCTTCCTCTTGAGTCACACTCCACAGTGTCGGAATAAGAAATGACAGAGGACAGGGTTTCTCTGTCATCTTTTGTATGCACAAAACTCTTTCAAACTAAATCGTTTTTTTTTATCAATACTGGCCTAGTTTTCATCCCATGCTAGGTGACTGAAACAGCACAGCAGGCTTTTTGTGTGTTTCTAATGTGTTTAGCTACTGGACCTATTTGCTCAAGTCTCAGAAATGAGTTTCACACTTGAGATACACCACCTCTTACTGTACAACTGGGAAAAGCCGGACATGAACAGACTAATTAAAAATGTTTGCGTAAGGTAGCAGCCTGCGACTAGCAAGTTTCAACAATCTATTCATCGGCTTTTTGTTAAATATAACACAAAGTGGTTTGGTATGACATGATTTAATAATAATACACTTATTATTATTATTTTTGGGCTTTTTGTGCCTTTATTGTAGAGACAGGTTAGTGGATAGAGTCGGAAATCAGGGAGATAGAGAGAGGGGAATGACATGCGGGAAAGGAGCCACAGGTCAGATTGGAACCTGGGTCGCTGGCTTGGAGGACCACAGCCTCCACACATGGGGCGCACGCACCACCAGCGCCCCAATAACAATACACTTTTGAAAACTTTTGTGAACTCTAATTCACAATAAGTAAAAATAGTCAACACAGAAAGTTCCAAATCCGTTGAAGCCATTTTGGTTGTCTGAACAGAGATTGACTGAATATGATTGGCCTGTGGTGATATAAGTGGCGATTGTGAGGGATTATTATTGTCTGAGTCTCGTCACTGTTTTTATAAACTCTTTATATTGTGGTCATGACAACGCTCATGGCAGTGAAATGGCTCCAATTCTAATTTGTTCTTCCTGGTGGTTCAGAATGACTTAAAGCAGCTTGAGGAACCAGCCGTTCTGCTGGCTCTTGTAAATGTCACTTTCATTATATCTACTCAGTTGCTACTGTACTCGTATGACAACTGACATTAGAAGAGGCTTTTACAGCCTCACATCACTTCTCCATCATATATTTCTCTCTGTGACTGCGTTCTTCTTTTTTCTCCCTTTTACCTGAAAACCCCTCCGTTCTCTCCTCTTCCCCACATTCTCACCTCTCTATCATTATGGTCATCACCTGTTCAGCTTCATGCTTTGAAGGGGTCTGATAATGGATTGTAAATTACACCCTGTTACAACGTGAATGGACACTTGGTGTTAAAGACGAGGATCGGCGAGGCGAGGAGTGAGCATGAAAAATACTCGTCAGTGACACGGGTTAATGGCAGGTTGCAGTAATGTAAAGAATGTCAACAAGGGGTCAATGGAAAGAGTGATGAGACGATGTGAGGAGAGAGAGGACATTTAACATGTCCAACACTAAAGACATGTTTTCTCCTCAGGGCCAGTCTCTCATTGTATTAAATATAAATATCTACAAAAAATATAAAGTCATATGTTCATATATAAAGCCATCATTTTTTAGAGGGAGGCATGGAACTAACTCTAATTATTGTTGTCAGGGTAAAGGGAATGGAAAACAAACAAACAAGAAAGATGAGTGAAATGGAAATATTAATAATCCAGGATGATAGTTGTGATGTACCGTCCCAACAACCGCCCGGCGCCCAGCCACCACCGTCAGACTGTGACGTCCCCACAACCACCGCCGTCCTCATTCATGCACGGCCTGCTGCTCCACCTCAACGGCAAGGAAATGTGGACAACCAGACCGCGAGGAATACAAAGGAGAAATCCTTCCTGCATATTATCCCATGATGCTCTTTTGTAAAGCGTCTCGAGATAACTCTTGTTATGAATTGGCGCCATACAAATAATGATTGATTGATTGATGTAACTACAAATCTAAAGTAGGCCGAGAAATCTAAGATGAATATTCCAAGTTTAAATGAAGGACGCCATAACTTCCATTAGAGCTGTGACTCATCGTCACTGTGATTACAAATTTAACTTGCTGGCTGTTTTCTCTATTATTTTGAATTTACTGCAAGTGAGATGATTCAGGGCCAGTTAACGGACTATAAAAATGCTGGGATAGAGACGGAGTTGGATTCTTATAGTGGAAGGGTTTTTGTTTGAAATATCAGTTGTGGAAAAGTTTTCTTTGACAGACTGCAGAAGAGCTGTAATCATCGTTCATTAGAGTTCGAGAGTCATCATGGGAAATGAAAGACATTCTCCTTCAGAGATATATGTTAATGTTTCTGTTGATGGCCTCAGAGTCCAGCGGAGGGTTAACCCAAGATTTCCACCTTTGATTGTCCCGTCTGTCTCAATTTTTTTTAACCTCTGTTTCAGCCTCACTTCTTTTGTAAGAATTCATGAGCAAGTATTGCTCTTGTGTCAACAAAACTTACAAGCATGGCTGCAGGGTAGATAGAACTTGGCTGGCTGGGCCGATCGCCTCGGGGCACACTCAAAGAAATGTTTACTCTGTTCATCAGCAGTGAAGAACCGAAGAGCCAGAGAAAGCTAACCCGTTTTTACTGCCAGCTAATCAGGACGTTTCACTGTATACAAAGTGAATCCCAAGAAACACTGGCAACTTGAATCTTCTGTAATGTGAGTGCTGACTCAACAACTGGAAATCATACTTTCCTTGAAGAAAAATGGCAGCAGCATTAGTTTAATAGAGAATATAAGGGTCTTACTGCTGACGCACAGATCATGTTGAGGAGCAGCTTCGACTCTGTGGCCATCTTTTTTTTTTCAGATATTATGTTCACAGTAATTGTAGGCTTAGTACCTGGTGAGTTTAATGTATTCAGCTTGATCTTGTCTGGCTTTACCAGCGATTATGAGTCATTTTTATAATAAAATCTGATTTATTGCCACATGTTTTCATCAATTAAAAAACAGGAGGACCAACACTGGTTGCCTCGGCGTCTAAAAGTCCTGGCTGAAGTGCAGCGTTCCCACTCAAGCCTCACCAACACACTGAAGCACACTCACAGGAGAGAGACTGAACAGGAGGAGATCGATGTGAAGTGATCAAGGTTATGAAGACTTACGTTGACCCCATTGGCCGCTGTTGGGGTTCAGGTAGTTGGGATAAAGCCCCTGGGGTTTGTCCAGGCGATTCAGTACTTTCCGGATGTTCATTACCTGATAATAAAAGAGAAAGACAACAAATGTCACATACAGCTCACTTAAACAGAGAAATATTTCAGCATGTAAAGTACCCTAAAATGCAGACTATAAGTCACACTAGTATATAAGATGCAGTCTGTTTTTGGGAGTCTCCCAGAGGAATAGAACAAAGGTTCAAACTCTCTTCCTGTGTGACGACTTCCATTGCCTTCAGCAAAGTCCACAACGTGCTGTTTCTGTGCAGCTTTGTAGCGCTTTGGTTTTTTCCATGTCAAGTTTGTAATCTTGCTATCTACCTGTATGACAGTTGAGATCTCAGACTACGGTAACGCTGATTGTTGTTGCCTCCTAAGTCCCGCCTCTGCTGGTCACATGTTGTTTTGAATCTTTTCAATCAAACCAGCACTCCACATGGTTTATCTACTTCACAGTGTACCACAGTTTTCTTTAAATGCAACATCACTACTGTCAGGTCGTGTGTAGTGTGGGTCCATGATGGTGGCTCCACTTCAGGTCATAATGGTGCATGTCTATAAGAACATTATACTGGTTTCTGCTGGTATATGGGGTACACTGGTTTAGGAAGAAACCCACTTTCAAGATGATAAATTAGGTTTATAAAATGTGTCTTGTACACCAAATGTTACAGCAATTATTTTCAACTCCAAATGCACTACTGATAGACTTATTCAAAATATTGGAAAATGCAATACCCAAATGAAAACACTGACACATTTTTTGAAAAGGTAGATGAAAAGTGAATCCAATGATAATGTTTGGCAAAAATAAATGGTTCATTTCTTAAATATTATCATCCTGTATAGAAGGCAAAAAAAAGAAAACTAACCAACTCAATATCTGTATGTAGATATAAGGTAAAGAGTTGAAGATTCCTGTGTGTTCAGCAGTTTTTCAGTTTCCATGTTTGCTTTCAGTAAAAAGTTTCTCTCAGAGTTTCAACAGTGAGTTCAAAAGTGCAGATGGAAATCCTGCACCAACAGGATTAGAGTGGGTAAAGTAATATTATCTATTCTAATGTGTGTCTGTCTCTTACCTTCTGTGCAAACTCAGGATTTCCTGAGAGTTTGCTGAGGTGCATGAATTCCAGATGCAGGGTGCCGTACTCTGCCAGGATGGAGCTGCCACCTGATGCCCACGGCCAGTTTCTACCAATACCACTGGACAGAGAGAGGGAGAGGGGTGTTTAGTGAAACAACATCATCAACAACAACAACAACAACAACAACACAAAGGCATACTGAACCAAAGCCGGTGTGTTTAAAAAAGAATAAGTCACATTTTGGGGGGATTTGACCGGAGTTGCTTGGGTGACAATAACACTATCCTGCCGAACATCAGGAGGATATACCAAGAGATTTATTTTGATTCCAAACCTGGTGCTACAGCAGCAGGTTATTAAAGCAATAAAACAGCAGAGAAATAAATACACTGTAAATGTACCCTCTGGGCCGTTGGCTTTCATTGGCCTCATCTTTGTAACCACTGGTCCAGGAGCATCACATTTGATTCCTGAGCAAATCTACCTCATCTCTTCTATACTTTACCTACTTGCACGCATACGTCGGCTTTGTTGGGCAGATTAGGCGACAGACGACATTTTTAACCACGTCGAGTTCCAGCCGACTGCAGCAGTCTCGCCGGTTTGGCAGGAACATTTTCTCCCTTCTGTTTTCATACGCTCTGTCACTCTCTCCCTCGACTCTCCCAGTGATTTTCTTTTCTTTAAAAGCCGATTTTTGCCCGTTTTTAGGTCAGGAACCAGTGGTTTAGGAACATTTACCACACTACCAGGGCAGTTATAACATTGAGAATTGTATACGTAGGAGTTGGAAAAAATATCAGTCTGCCCCAGAGTCTTACAATCGGGCATACAGGCAGGACTGAATGTGTAGCCCATGCAAAACTACAAAAATAAAAGCATCAAATTAAGGAACTCTAAAAGAATGTTGTTTTAAAATGTAAACACACATTACAGGGAAGTAGAGGTGTCAATGTGCAACACAGTGTTTGGAGTTTTAAATGTGTAATTACAGTGTACTGTGTAAGGGTGAGTATGTCAATGCACTGAACTGGTAGCATGAACAATCAGCCTCTAAAATAAATCTTCTGATTAATTATAATGTCACACTGACAAACAAACAACAGTGTGGTCCGAGCAGAGAGTCATTTGTTGGTTATAGCTAGAAAAAATGTCAACAACCAGTGTTAAGTGACCCATATGTGGTATATAGTTCTGATTCAAACTGTGGAAAGAATTTGTTTTAGCCCATTCCTCAAACGCGACTAGATTTTGGAGAAAATAACAGAATGATATCCCTGAATGTCTGAAAGGAAATCCAATATTGTATCACATTTTCTCTTGACTCATTTTGGAAATTGCTGAACTTGTTCTCACTTATTTATAATTCTCACTAATAGCAGCAGATATGTGGGCGCTCACACAAGAATACATTATGAGTCATTCGTCACCACACAAATAACCTGACAGCAGAAAAGAGGGAATACATCTTTAATAGTCACTCTAAAAACTCTGTGTGACTCAGCAGTCATACTTGGATTGTGACTAAAAGTGTTCCTTCAATGTACCTGATAGTTCAGTAAGCCTTTAATATTTCTCATCCTGCGCCTTGGTGACATTAACAACAGGCTTTAGAAATCAAAAGGTGTTTTTGCGAAGTGTCAGGTGACTTTGCGCGACCTCTTGTGATGCATGAAGATGGGATTGTGTGCGCTCACAATATGAATAGATCGAGCAGAAGAATATATGAATGTGGTGACTCTCCTCAATGTACACTTTTAAAACAAGAAATGTATTATCTCGCCTCTCTGTTGAGGTTTAGTAACAGGAAGTCAGCCTTTGGGGACATAGCTGCAATGAAGACTCTAACCAGCCTCTAAATAATGAACTAAAATAACTAAAAGATGTTTTTTGTTTTCGATTGATGAGCGAGACTCGGAGCATGTCAGTATTTTCTTTATCAGTCAAAACATTTCCCTTCTTCTTCTTCTACTTTTTAAAAAGATATTTTTGTCTTCAACTGAAGAGAGACAGGAAGTGTAGAAAGGAGAGAGAGCGGGGATGACATGCAGCAAAGCACTGAGGTCGGATTCAAACCCGCAGCCACTATACTGCAGACTACAGCCTCTGTTCATGGGGCGCACAACATAACCACTAGGCTACAGGCTACGCCCCAACATTTTCCTTCTTAAAATAGCCCACGACTTGAATACTGTGAGCCTTGATGATCTTTTATACATCATCACACGATGTGGCCTGGTAAAATAAAGTAGCTGGTGAAAGAATGTGTGACTGGAGGATTTCTGAATCCATCAGTCACAGTGGCAGGTAGGTGCAAAAGTTATTTTTCCAAATGGATACTGACTGTGTTACATTACTGACTTTGAACTCAATCTGTCATATTTTTGTGCTTTTTCTTTTTCCTGCACTTCACTTCGGCAACACGTCTCATCTTTGCCTGTATCCGCCCTATCAATCAAAACTGGAAGGACCCTGCCCTCTTCCCCTCCCGTTGCCGGTGGTGACAATGAATCTGTAATCGTGTGTGATATGTCATGCTCGGTCCTGACGCGCTCGACAAGGACAGAGGGCTGAGCAACATGATGCGTTTGTGTGCGCTGGATCATTAGAGCCACTGACAGATCACTTCCAGGCCGAGGGCCGATGCCTCTGGTGGCGAGGCTTCAAGATCCTCCTCATGAATACACATTAACAAATCCACGATGCTGAGACACACAGCAAGATGGCCGCGCTGCTACAAGTGGACGCACGGACATGAACTGAGCACACGGGACACATCCAAGAAATTAGAAAAAGGAGGAGGCGGAGGAAGAGGAGAGTGAAGTGGGAGAAGAGACACACACACACACACACACACACACACACACACACACACACACACACACACACACACACACACACACACACAGCTCTTCAGAGAGGTGCATGAACATACTAATTATCCCCCCTTCAACTCATCATGCTGCACAAGCCATAATTTGTTTCCCATTACACCATGGATTTAATCAAGTCAACCAAACACAGAGAGGACTACGGCAGCATCAGCCAGCGAGCAGAGAGACACACAACCGGGTCAGAGAACACAACTGCTGGGCGAAAGATCCCTGATTAAGACGGGAGCTGTGTGAATGCAGACATTCAAGGAGGATATTAAAGTCTGCAATTCTCTGCACACAACTTCAACACATGCAGAGTCTTTGGCCCTCCATATTACCACTGTATCTACAGGCTAAACCTCACTTCATATATTTAGTTTAAATTCCAAACAAATGTATTGATAATGTAATTTTGACTATATGATAAATACTAATTAAAGGGTATCTTCTGATAAGTCTGGTACTTTGGGCTCGGCTAAATATCAAAAAAGAGTTTATATGTTGACGATGTCAGAAAGGATGTGGGTTAGTATCCTAAATGTATGAAAATGATATTTCCACTACAGTCACAATTCTTTGTCAACATGTGTTAAGTCCAGTGTAGAAATAAGTGTAAAAAGTGCGGTTGGGGGTTCGGTGCCTTGCTCAAGGGCGCCTCTGAAGCGCTCAGGAAGTGCCCTGGCACCTCTCCAGCTACTGAAACCAGAACCCAGGTACCTACAGACTGAGCTACTGGCGCCCCCAATAGGTCCATCAGGTGTTGACTGAGACCAACACTAACATTGAAGAAATCTTTAGATCATTTCAGCCAGTGGGAATTTAATTTCTTCATGTGGAAACACATTTGAAAAATGTAAAACACGAGTCTGACGTGTTAAAATGTTATTTTCAGTAGTGAAAACCAAATATGAGTCAGCTGAGAGGACACACATTTCTGTGAACCTGAGATGATGTTCTTCAATCTTAAATATACAGAGTAGAGTGTTACTTAGAAGAAGAACACAACATTATTTCTTTATCTCTGCTGCCGCCTCCGCTTTCCCTCAGTCGTCTGTAGACTTTGAATTGTCTCTCCATCTCTTTCAATCCTGTTATAAACCCTGTGATGAACGATAAATCTCTTCTCTTAAACGGTGAGGCAACACACACCTTACCAACTCACCCCTGTCCACCCAAAGCCCCCCCCCCCGCTGTGAGAAAACACTAAATCTCTGTTAAGGAGAACAAAACAAAGACAGCAGGGAAAAGCTGCCGAGTAAATCCAACAGACACAAACCAATGAAGAGCAGATATCGGGAATAATACTGGAGACGGATGGATGAGGGCGTGTCTGGAATATGATTTATCCGACAAGGCTGTCTGCAAGTCTCAGAGAGATAAGTTAGAAACCAATGTCAAAAGGAAAAAGGCTGAAAAACCACAAGAAAATAAACTGCTCGGGGCAGAATAACAACTCTGGGAATTAATCTAAATCAACAGAATTACACTTTTCAGATATATTTAACCATAAATAATAATAGGCCTGGTTAAAAATATTTAATCATCAATGCATTGCAATTATTTTTTTCACAATTCAATATCGATTCAAGGAAATCCTGAGCTCCATTATTTCCGTTGTAATTACCCACCACTGCAGTGGGGGCGCTGTGGGTGCCGCTGTACCTCTGCATACTTGAATGTTTTATTCTTCGTTTTTTAAAAGATAATGCAACAATAAAATACATTTTTGAGTCAGTTTGTCGTAAGCCTATACAAATAATGCACAAATTATAATTCAACAAATATCAGAAGGTACTGTGATTAGTTATCTGGGTATTTCTGTCATCTATGCATTATTAAATCGATATGGAAGCCTATTGATCAATATCAAAACCTAATCGAATCGTGATACAAAGAATCGAATTGAATGGTGAGGTTGTGGATAATACCCAGCTTTAATAAATAACATGTTAAAGTTGAATTCATAAGCAATAAAACCTTTTACAATTCTAAAAAGTAAGTAGTAGTTGCACCAGTCTTACTTTGTCTTGGATAATAAATGGCTTTACAGTGAGTAGCTTTCTTTTGGCATCCACTCAGGCGTCTGTAAAAAGCTGCACATCTTACGTCTTCGCTAGTGTTGTCCTGTACATGTGTAGGTTTCAGCTGGGAAAACAATGAAAATGGTTATTTTGTGAGAAAATCCTCCAATTAGACTGGCGCCCTTAATGTTTCTCCTCTCATTAAATCTCACACTGACTGA